GAAAAGACAGCTAAGTGGTTAAGACTTCATATGCTCAGCTGAGTAGTGGTGGCATACACCTCTAATCCCAAGCACTTGGGAGACAGAGGCAGGCAGATCTCTTGAGTTCAAAGCTAGCCTGGTCTACAGAATGGAGTTCCAGAACAGCTCAGGCTATACAGAGAAACCCTGTCACTAAATAAATAAATAAATAAATAAATAAATAATAAAGCAACCTAAGAAAGAAAGGGAGAAAGACAGAACGATAACTTTAAATGAACCTACTTATAACAAATCATTTGGGATGATGATATTTAAAAAAAATAAATAAACTCTCAAGGCTGAAGAGATGGTTCAGGTGTTAAGAGCACCCTACTCTGTCTACTCTTCCAAAGGACCCTGGCCCAATTCCTAGCACCCACACAATTCATAGCTGCCTAACTCCAGCTCTGGGGATCCAACACCCTCACACAGACATACATGCAGACAAAACACCAATGCACATAAAATAAAAATAAATAAATCAGCAAGGTGGTGGTGGTGCATGCCTTTAATCCCAGCACTTCGGAGAGAGAGGCAGGCAGATCTCTGTGTTCAGGGCCAGCATGGTCTACAAAGCTACACAGAGAACCCCTATCTCAAAAAACAAAGTAAATAAATAAATCATTTTTAAAACTTTCAAATATCCATGTTTTTTCTTTGTCTCTTTCAGAAATAAAATCCCACAAAATACTGCCAATTGTGGTATCACATACCTTTAATCCCAGTACTCAAGAGGCAGAGACAGCCAGATTTCTGTGAGTTCCAGCCAGCCTGGTCTACAGAGAGAGTTCCAGGACAGCCAGGGCTACACACACAGAAACTCTGTCTCAAAATAAATAAATAAATATGTTTTTTAAAAACAAACAAACAGAAACCAACAATGCACAGAGAACTAGGTGAGGCATGCACAATGGTTTTAATTTCTTCAGAAACAACTAATGAGGGCTGGAGAAAGAGCTCAGCTTTTTAAAAACACTAGCTGTCTACCTAAGGGCCAGGGTCAATTCCCAGCATCCACATGGAAGCTCAGCACCTGCTGAAACTCCAGTGCCAGAGAATCAGGTGCCCTCTTCTGGGCTCTGTCAGCACAAACATGCCAGCAAAATACCCATACACAAAAAAATAGTAATTAAAAAAAAAAAAAAAACAGAGCTATTAAGCCACAGGGTCAATCTATACACTTAAAGTGGGCTAGTTTTAGTTTAAAAGCTTATTTGACACCATAAAACAGACTAAGGAGAAGCAGAATATGTATCTGTTCCATTCAGCTTCTATCTACCTACCTTTGCAAATGTCATTTCTCATAAGGAACAAATTACATCTAAAACTGGCAACATTCACTCATTAGGACATAAATATTACACCTACATACATTATAATCAGGTCTACTGTCCAAATTGCATCAAATTTCTAATCCATTACCCTCAGAGTTCAGTTACCTGTCATCATGGTGGCTAGTAATTCAAACAGCAGAAGCACAACACAACCAACCACGCAATCATAAACTGAGTTGTCATCTTTACACATGTTCATGCTCCTGGTGACTGAAGCAGTTCAACATACACATGTGTTGGCTATAGTAAGAAGCAGCTAGTCCAAGCAGTGTTGGTGCACACCTTTACTCCCAGCACTCAGGAGGCAGACAGAAGTAGGAAGATCTCTGTGAGTTCAAGGCCAGCCTGGTCTACAGAGCAAGTTCTAGGACATCATGGAACATTTCTAGGACATCCAAGACTATTATATAGAGAAACCCTGCCTCGAAAAACAAAATAAAACAAAAAAGAAGCTTGTCATTCACAAGGCCAGTGAAACAACTATAGACATCATGAAAATTTAAAACTTTTAAAAAAAATCATTGAAATAACTAAGATTGTCATATACAAATACCAGTACATACTAGGCATTTTTTTCTATCATTGGTAAAAATGTAACTCTGGCTAAGAATCATGGCACATGCCTTCAATTTTGCATGAGGGATCTCTGTGAATCTGAGGCCATCTGCATATAGAGTTCCAGGGCAGTGAAGACTACACAGTGAGACCCTGTCTCCAAAGAGGGGAAAAAAACAAAACAGTAAACTCTTCAGACCCTGTCTCCAAAGAGGGGGAAAAAACAAAACGGTAAACTCTTCTAATTACACTTGATGGGTTATTAAAACAAATTCTATGAGATACTTACAAAAAGCATTCCCTTAATTCAATATATTTTTTCACACTAAAGTTCATTGGGTCTATTATGTTACTTAATCTCTCTCAGAGAGCCTCAGTTTTTCACAAAGCCATAAATAAATATTAATTAAAAACCTTCAACATTAAGATACACTTGAGTGAGGCTGGAGAGACGGCTCAATAGTTAAGATTGCTTGTAACAGAAACCCAGAGTTTGGTTTCCAGCACCCAAATTGGAAACACATGCCTACCTATAACCTCAGGTTCCACAAATCCAAAGCCCTCTTCTGGCCTCTGAGGGCAATACACATATGTACACATATACACAAATATGTATACACGCAAATAGTCTTTTTAAATCAGGGAAAATTGGGGCAGTAGAGATGGCTCAGTGGTTAAGAGCACTCGCTGTTCTTCCAGAGGTCCTGAGTTCAATGGTAGCTCACAAACCATCCATAATGAGATCTGGCACCCTCTTCTGGACTAAAGGCATACATGCAGGCAGACCAATGCATACATAATAAATAAATAAATCTTTAAAAAAAAAAATATGGGAAAATTGTAAGGTGAATCACTCTCAACCCTTCATTAAGATTACACTTTCAGTTTTGGTTTGTCTAAGCCAGTGGTTCTCAACCTTCCTAATGCTTTAACCTTTTAATATAGTTCCTCATGTGTGGTGACCCCAACCATAATATTATTTTGTTGCTACTTCATAACTCTAATTTTTTTAATGTTATGAATCATAATGTAAACATCTGTGTTTTCCATGGCCTTAAGTGACCCCCTACAAAAGGGAAAAGATCATTTGACCCACAAAGAGCTCTTACTCTCAGGTTGCCAATGGATGGTCTATGCATATTTTAAATCTTTCTCTTCTTTTTTGGTTATATATTTCATTTTATGTGTATGAGTGCTATGTCTGCATTTCTGTGTACCACGTGTTTGCCTGGTGCCAGAGATCAGAAAGGGCATCAGATCCCCTGGAACTGGAGTTACGGATGACAGTTAACTACAATGTGAGCCATTTGAATGGAGGACGCCGAACCCAGGTCCTCTGCTTAGTAGCAGGTACTTTTAACTGAGCCCATATCTCTGGCCCCTTAAGTCCTTTTTTTTAAAGTTCTGCACAACAAGCCTTTTAATATAACACTCTATTTAATGCTCGATTTAAATCCAATGCTCTATAATTCGACCTATTTACACAGTAATAATATTTACTCCATCCACTAGGACAGTTTTTTCAGATACCTCTTGTTCTGGGAGCAGGGTAAATGAACCAACTCCTTGAAGTCTGACAGCTATGGAATTTTATTTTATCTATTAAATTTTATTTTATTTATGTTTTTTATTTGGGGGGATGGGTTGTTTGTTGGAGACAGAATCTCCCTGTAACCTGGAATTTATCTGTACACCAGGCTGGCCTCAAACCTGCCTCCGTCTCCAGTTCTGGGATTTTAAAGCCGCTGCACTCAGCTCTATGTAGGTTCTTAACTCCCTAGGCCTATTCCCCAATCTGTCAGGTCAAAAGGACCTATAAAAATACTTTCTGGTCAAAGACAAACCTTTCTACCTGTCAGCTCCCACAATCAGTTTTGTGCACCCATTTAGCAGAATAGATTGGCTCAATTCTAAACAATTCCCTCCGGGGAAGCCCCTGGCAGAACTGCAGAACACCAAAACAACCATCCTTTAAACCAACCACTATCTACAGTCACACAAAGTTAAACTAGCTCTCAGGGACAAAAGGCTATACATATGGATTACCTCTTCATCAGCCTTAAAATTTCATGTGTGGGAAAACATGGCAAATCAAAAAGGCAGCCTTCCTAAACTACAAAACTTTTCCCTCCAACCCAAGCAGTCTCATTTAAAGTTCTCTTGTGAAGTCAAAAAAGCAAGTCAAAACAACAAAAAACCATAAGCAGAATTAGCGGCACTAGGACCACATCCCAACTATCTAGTTAGTAGCTCAAATCCTGCTGTTTCCCTTTCCTTTAACCCTTCTCCCCTTACTCTGGGAAGAGTCTCACTGAGAAAGCCAAAATTCACATCCTCGGACTTCTAGCAAGCAGGGGCTGGGGGGAGGAGGGGGAGAAGTCAAGGAAGGAAAAAGGGGGAATTATTTCAGAACCACGGTTTTCCATGCAAACAGCAAAGTAAAGGGCATCCTTGTGTCATCAGCCTAAGGGGACGCTGGGGGGGGGGGAGGACACGACATCAAAAAGATGTTCAGTGTGTGTGCCTTTCTGAGTCTCCAGGCAAGCTGACGCCCCGGAGCAGAAAAGTAAGAAAACCTGTGCTTTTCCCTACTCCTGCCCCTAAGAGGCAGAAAATGGGGGGTAGGACAGACTATTCTCCTCCTCCTGGGGGTAGGTACACAAATAGACCAGGGTTCCTTCAGTTATCACCAGTTAGGAGGGTGGCGGGTGTTAATGGAAGAGGGACACCCTAACTAGTATTACCTACCTCCTTTCAAAAAGGGAGGAGTAAAAGAGAACGATTAAATCCAGATGGAGCGCCCCTGAAAGCGCCCCCAGGTCACTCATCCCCCAAGAGCAAGCGGAAGGGCTGGGATAAAGGGGATGGAGGGCTGGACATGGGCAAGGCCCCACCCCCCGGTTTAGGAGGGAAGGCGAGCCCCGGCTCACCGCCGAATCCCCGGGCCGCCCCCTCGTGTCCCCCCTCCCCGGCCCTTGCACGGCCTGCGGAGCCCCCAGCAGCCCGCGAGGCAGCAGATCCTTCCTCCCCTCACCCACCGCGTCCCCACCCCCACCCGCTCCCACCTCCCGTCCGCCGCGGGCCCGTTACCTGCTCGTCGAAGCGGCTGACCACGGCCTGGACCCATTCCACCGGCCTGTGTGCGGCCATGTCCTCCCCGCGACCCGGGGGCGGCAGATGGCCCGGTGGGCCGGCGTCCGGGACCCGCCGGAGGGCGGGCGCTGAGGTGAAGGCAGCGGCGAGCCGAGCAGCTGAGGAGTGCGGGCAGCTAGCGTTCCCACGGGGGTGGGGACGGGGGCCCGCGCGGCCCGCCGGGAGGGGGACAGGGGAAGGGGGCGTTGGCGAGGAGGCTGGGGGAAGGGGTGGGGAGGGGAGCCCGGGGAGGGGAGGGCGCCTGTGGGTGGCTGTCCCCACTAGCGCCGTCTCCCCTCAGCCATCACGGTCCGAGACGCCGCCATGACACCCCACCGGAAGTGGGATCCTTTCCACGGCTCGGGGAGAGGGAGAGCGAGCAAGCTCGAGATTGAGAGCGCGGCTGGGAAACGGGAGGGGGAAGCGAGAGGGAAAGGGGCCTGCCGCGCATGCGCCCGCTACGGCCGGTTTCATTAATGAAAAAGAGAGTCCTGGAGGTGACGTCACCTAACTCCTCCGGGCCCAGAGGCGCGCGTCCCTCACCGCCGCCGGTCTCCCCACCTAGCCCGACGCGGTGCTCCGGCCCGAGAGTCTAAGCCGATTCCGGAGCGTCGGCTGGCATCGCCACCGCCGCCCCGGTCAGCCCTTCCCCCGCCGGCCTCCGGACTTGGATTGCTCCCGGGGCTGGAAGTTAGGGTGTCCCGAGGCTAGGCTTTCACTCCGCGCGCTGATCTCCGTCGCTGATCTCTTGGGAAGGCTGTGTTCAGTCTCTCTGCTTTCAGCGCTGAAAAATTTAAGGCACACACCACCACGCAGTCGATGGGGCTTCTGAAAGCTGCTGGAAAATGGGAGGCCGAGAGAGATTCCGTGATTTTTTTTCTTTTAAGGTCACTTAAATTCCAAAGCAAGACCCAGTGGCGATGCAGGTTCCCTCAGAGGTTCTACAATCCCCAACCTGAAATTTCTCTACTAAACTGATAGGTACCAAGTTAATAAAACTTTTGCACGGCTGATAATATAGAGTTGAAGACGAATTCATTGTAAAAGCCTTTAAAGGGCTTAAGGAACATTCGTCGTCTCGTTTCAGTCCTTTCAGCAAACCTTTCTAGTAGGGCTCACTAGCCATACCTAACTAATGAATAGGGCACCGGAAGTTCCAGGATATACCTCAAGATCAGAGCTGATAAATACCAGAATGGTTTGGCTCTAAGGACAATCGGCCTCTCCAGAAACAGGGGCCGTCCCAATGCCCCCAGTACCACAGTTTGGAGAACTTATGTGGAATTGACTGTATACTCTTACAAAAGAGGGTACTTTGAAAAGGTAGTTTGCTCCAGATTAGCCCGTTCTACAACAGGGAATTCCAGACCAACCAGGGCTACACAGTGAAACTCTACAATGGGGGTAGGGGGTTGTTAGTGGGGGTGCTCAATATCTGACATTGAATTTTGTAATGAGTTTTTTTCAATGCACTTTGCTTAGGTCACTTCACAGGGTGCAGAGGTGCTTGCCTTTATTAAAGGGAGGTGAATCTTCACAAGTTCCAAGCCAACCAGAGCACCTAGCCTCAAAAACAAACAAAAGTGTGCATATACTCGGAGCACACGCTGCAGTAATCAACCGTTAGCCACACAGAAAAGATATCAACTGAGTGATAAGATGAAACAAAACCACAATTTTCATTTCACCACAGAAAATCCACAAAGCCCATATACAAGGTGATATATCCGTAAAAAGTCTGGGTAGGTTGGTGATCTTCAAAATGCATATTAAATTAATGTTTCATTCTACAAAAACAAAAGGCAGAAATTGGCCGTTTCTATGATCCCTCTTGAAAGATGCAACATGGATGCTAATTTCTTTAGATGATGTCAGAAATTATGACAGTGCTGAAAAGAAATGGATGAATATTAAATAGCCTCTGTACTTTCTCCATCTTGGACCCCTGATAAAGCTCTTAATCATTGCCCCAAATACTATGCCAACATGTCTACTTCACTGCTAAACATCCAGCCCCACACCTCCCTTTCCTTTTCTCGCCCTGCCTCTGAAAACCCATGGTTATCTCCTCATCTTTGAAACTCTCAGATATGGCTGAGCCCTAGGTTCCCTTCCCTCTATTGACTTTCCATCGCTAAATGTTCTCTGTCTCCTTCCTCTCCTCCTCTGGTTTCTTCCCTGATTGTCTCTATTCCTCTGTAACTTTAAGTGCTGGCTTTTTGCTCTTCTTTCTTTACTCTGACTCCAGCCAGTGGGTCATTAATCCATCTTGCTATGCATGTGTACAAAGTGCTCTTTCCTCCCGTGTACACCAAGCATCATTGATGACGGAGGCCTAGCCTTCACCCAACCCCAAGCCTCTCATTGCAGATGGAGGTCTAGATTCACCCAGCCTCCTCTCTAATGAACTCAGTTCTTTAAACCAATATCATATATCTATCAGCCTGTTCTACACTATAATCTTTGTTAAGCAATAGTAGTACAATAGGGAGTCTACACCAAATCCCTAGAGAAAGTGATGCATAGACTGGTTAACTAAGAAGCATCCCTACCTAACCCTACCCATGATGTCACTCAACTCCAGACAAGTACTACCATGCAAGAATGTTGACCCCATGTTGCTAAAACTTCCAACTAGTCAAGAGGAGCTGAAAATTCAAACTCACCTATAGATTCCTCTAATTTTTACATTGTGGCAGCCAATTCACATTTTTCAACGCTGTACAGCCAAAGTAAGTTGTATGTCTGGATTTAGCTTATGGAAACCAAGTGGACTAGCTGTATGTAATCTAGGGGGAAGTCATGTTCTTCTGAGCAGAGTAGAATTTGGGTTATATCCTAACTTCCCCTATTCTGCACTGTCAAAGATAGGTAGTATTAGGGATCATGTAAGTGTTCAGTATAATTTTAAATGTATTTCCCTCATTCATCCTCCCCACTAGATTAAAAAAATTGCCAATTATTTTTTTCAAGAGTCTCTAATTTTTGTCTGTATGAGTATTTTGCCTTCATGTATAACTATCATGTGTATGCAGTGCCTGTGAGAGGCAGAAGAGAGCATCAGGTCCCCTGGAACTGGAGTTAACAGACAACTGTAATGCAGCATGTGAATGCTGGGAATCAAACCAGAGCCCTCTGGAAGAGCCACCAGCACTCTTAACCACTGAACCATCACCTGTCCAGTCCCCTCAAAGATCTTGTTCAAAATCCCAAGGTATTTCCTCTATTCTGCCCACTCCACATCTCCACTGGCACACCTCCCCCACTCACTTCCCCTGTACAACAAAGAACCCCGGCTCCTCTCCACTAAGACACTTGTTTCCTAGCTTCTGGGAGGGTTAGAGGCCAGTAGCCCTCCTCAGAATCCCACTCCAGCCAGAACTGTTCTCTGCTGAGAGGAGCTTTCTCATGCCATGTTACAGCACTTCCGGGGGATCTTTCCAGACTAGATGTGGGTTCGGGGTGGGACCACTCTGTAGGTCCTCTGGTCTCCAGAGCTCCCTGATAGGAGCAGCTCCCAAGAAATTCATTGGCTGAAGCTTTTGCTATAACCACATTTAATTCAGCTATATTTCTCCTCAATCTTACTCCCTCCATTACAGCATGATGCTGACCCCAAGGACACTAAGTCCCATGAGAGGAGTCTGAAACAGTAAAGCTGCATTGCCCTGTGACCAGCTGTCAGTAAGGACCCCAGAACCTTGCAGGCCTTAACATGCACAGACACACATGCATACAAATAAATTAAAATAACCTTTTCTGGAAGGCTGGAATATAATATAATACTAATGGGAAAATGCACCAGTAGATGCAATCCAACAGACTTTTTTTTTTTTTTTTTTAATGTGAGGGACAGGGTAATTTAAAGACAAGAATGGGGCACATACCTGTAACCCTATTCTTGGAAGATTAAGGTGGGACACTGACAAGTTCAAGACCAACCTGAAGTAGTGAGACCCTGTCCAAGAACACTAACACATACAGATGAAGTTGTATAACTATGGATGTGGTAAATCTATACCATGGAAAAGGACAACCAAAGTCTTAGAGCGATTAATTACCAAAGGCTGAGGATGAAAGTCAAAGTGTCATCTCAGCAGCTTGATAGAAGATATAGAAAGCAGAGTACAAGACCAGGGCTTAATTACAAGAGCAATGGAGCTCCAATATGATTCTTAGCACTAGCAAGTAAGCTAGGCCAAGGCCTGGGCTAGCAGTTGGGGAAGTGAGACTCTGACACTTGTGTCAGGGCATCTCTTTCCATGCATCTAAAAACTTTAAAAACCCCATCACCTCAAGTGCTCTGGATTTATAGAACTGTCCCTGATGTCTGCATTAAAGGCTAGTGCCTCATCAGCTCTCATCCATAGTTTATCCATCTTGCAAGACAAAACAAGCTCTTCTCAGGATCTACCAATACCTTTTCACCTGCACCAGACTAAAGTCAAGCCACAAAATAGCCCCACCAAGGAAATGTTAGAACCACTAATGGAAAAAAGCAATGTGTATATTGAAGGAGATAAAGCCAACCGGTGTGTGTATGTGTGTGTGTGTGTGTAAGCAATGTGTATATTGAAGGAGATAAAGCCAACCGGGGTGTGTGTGTGTGTGTGTGTGTGTGTAAGCTGGGAGAGCCTAGAATTAGGTCCCCAGATTGCTTTGTGAAAGGGGAGAGGAAGAGAAAACTTCCTACTAAACAAAGTAGAGTTTATTGATATAAGTACATTCCTGTACTGTAGTATCTACATCCTGCCAGGCCCCCAGGAAATGGTGCTAACGTGTTACTAACATGGTTCTAGGAAACTTAGAGAAAGCAATGCCTGTCCTGGACAAAGAAGAAAAATCAGAGCTGTCTGACAAACAACAGAATAAGAGAACTGAATGCAGGGAAGCATGCACCTGTATTACCCCACTCAGGTGCCGTGCCCAGGCAGGAGGATAATGAGCTGCAGGTCAGCCTTGAAAGCATCGTGAGTATGAGACTAGCTTGTACTACATACAAGACTCAAAAACAAAACAAACAAAAAAGACTCAGAGAAGCAGGATGCTATAGTAGATAAACAATACTAGTGTAGATAGATATACAATGTACTTCCCCAGCCTTCTATCATAAGCTGGTGAGAGGGGTGTTCACTACTGAGAAGTTTGCAATGGTTCTCTGTGGACCAGGTCTGCTGATAGACAACATTGTAGAGTTAGGAGTAGTAGGCTTGATATATTTCTAGAATAAGTAGCGTTGTTTTAGATGTTAAGATTAGAATGGGCTTGCCCCTAGAAAGTTGTGAACATAGTTACTAGAACAATAGAAGAAATATAGGTGGGCAACCAATCAAGTTCAGTACATAATTTTTAAAACCCAAGAATAAAAGAGGAAGAATCAGAAAAGCTGCTTCCAGTGAATAGTC